ATGCTGGACAGGAGCTTCCATGTTGTGCAGAGGCAGGTAATTGGGTTGTAGTTGGATGATACTGCTCCCTTCTTAGGGTCCTTCAGGATCAGGACTGTCCGGCCTTCAGTTAACCACTCAGGGTGGGTTCCATCCATTAGTAGCTGGTTCATTTGTTCTGCCAGGCGCTCATGGAGTGAAGTTAGCTTCTTTAACCAGTAGGCATGGATCATGTCAGGGCCTGGTGCTGTCCAGCTCTTCATACTTGAGACCCTATCTTGAATGTCTGCCATTGTGATGATTACTGGGTCTTGTGCAGGGAGGTTGCTGTGGTCTGATCTTAGGTCCACCAGCCATTGAGCACTGTTGTTTTGTGATGCCTCCTTTTCCCATATGCTCTTCCAGAACTGTTCAGTCTCCAGCCTTGGTGGGTCTGCTCTCATGTTATTACCCTGCCACTGAGAGTACACCTTGGATGGCTCAGTGGAGAACATTCGGTTTAGGTAGGTAGGTAGGTACTTTATTGACCCCTCAATGGGAAATTTTATTTTATTCTCCTGGCTTCTTTTTCTCTGGTGTACCTCTTCAGCTGTGTGGCCAGGGCTGTGAGCCTTTGCTTGGCAGTCTCCAAGGCCTCAGGTATGGACAGTGAGTTGTATTTCTTAGGTACCCCTTTCTTCATCACGCCTTTCTGCAATTCTGATAGCTGGCTAACTTCTCTCCGTTCTGTCTTGATCTTGGTCTCCAACCTCCTTCTCCATGGAGGATACTGCTCCTTATGGCCTTTATTGAACTTATAGCCAAGCATCTCAAGGATCATGGTTGCTGTGGTGTATATGAGCTTGTTGGTCTCAGTGATGGTTGTAGTAGGGATTGTTCTTAGTGCTGCATTCACATCATCTAGTAGAGTTTCAGAAGGCACTTCACTTAGTCTTGGTAACCAGCCACGGGAGTTCCAGGTGTCCATCTTACTCATGATCTTCAGTCTCAGGTCAGCAGCCCTTGAATATATATATATGTGTGTTTGTGTGTGTGTGTAAGACAGATAAAAGATATATATAAGACAGATAAGATATCGTGCTAAGGTTCTGAAATAAAGTACCTACATGCTTCTATATAACTCAGCTGGTTTATTAATTGTATTTTTATCTCAGTCATCTGACTGTAACTGTAAAAGTGTAGCAGCTGCGTCATCTGACTTACGCGTTCCAACAAATCATCTGAGCTGGACTGTTTTATGTATAGAAGCTGTTCGTAGTGTTTGCAGTTGGACAGTTCATGGAAATGCAGTAGGCCTCACAAATACCCACTGTATTACACTGCAAGTATGGGTATTAGGACAGACCTTAAGAGTTACAAGCCATAGGCAGACTGTATGTTATTAGTAGTGACTAGCATTAGGAGCGCACCAGCATCTAACCAGACTGAATTGACATTTGTAGGCTATGTAATGCAGCCAAGCAGCAAATATCACACTTTCCTCCACTGAGTGTTTGTTCTGTGGCTCCTTCGACTAGCTACGGTGCAGGACAAGATGTGCGTTCATGTTTGTAGAGTAGAAAAGGAGAGTTCTTGGCTCTTGTGTTGTGTAGCAGGCCACTGCCTTGATGTTAGTTTAACATCTGCTTGTGATAGAATGCTAACTTTAGTGTTGCAAATATTGGTTAAAATGAATTGACTGGATTGGAGGTTCTCCATCTCATTTTTCTAGTCAAATAAATAATGGTATTCTAATCGATCAGTGTAAAACTAGGCAATGCCACCATGAAATCAAAAAATATGGTTCCCAACTTGGGTAGGTGAGGCCTGAAAAAGACATTTTTATTTGTCCAGTAGGGAGGCTTATCATGTTATATTCACATTGTGTTTACTCTGGAGTTCAAACAGGGCTAAAATCAAGTCTGCCATTCCTTCTGATCAATCTGTTTGGCAGGCTTGTGTTTGTTTGTGTTTGCATTTCCATTTGTGTGCATGTGTGTGTGTGTGTGTGTGTGTGTGTGTGTGTGTGAGAGAGAGAGAGAGCTGGTATTTTACTTGATGGCCTCACACATATCCAAGCCCATCTTTACGCAGTTTCTGGCATGGTGAGGCAGAGACTCAGGCAGACCAGACACACAGTAGTAACAATCGCCCAGGATCTTGATTCGCATACACTCATTTTCCTTAAAGAGGAGACACAGTGAAAATAAAGTGAGATAGGACATCTACATCTGTCCATAATAATCAATATCTTTAGTAATGGTTAACTATCACTTGCTAAAAATGATGTTTGTCATGCTCTTTCTCACCTCCACAAACTTTCACACACAGTCACATCTATCTAGCCCAAACGCATACACCCACACACATGACACATTAGCTCTTATTCCACATGTGGGATGTGTAACAGCTCATTGTTGGACTGGGTTTATGTAACTGCAGCTTCATCAGGCAGGAGGACAGAGCTGCTGGTCAACACTGAGAGAACCTGACTCAACGGTTTAGACCTGAATATCTGAGTACTCAAGGGACGGCCAGATAAACTCTGACCAGCCCACACTGCTACAACCTGCAGCTCTCAGCATGCACAGCACTCTGAGAAGGTATGGTACGGAGGCCGACAGTGGCTGCAGGACAGAGAAAACATTTATTTCAAGGCTATGCTTCATCTGATTGACAGTGCAGCACAGACCTTGTTCTCTCACATTCTCTCTTATTCTCTTTTATTATTTTATTCTCCTGTGTCCTGTTAATGTGCAATTAACTAAGTTGTGCATTTTCAACCATTCAAAGAAAGCCGGTCAGTTGTTACAGACTTCAGATAATATTGGTTATCTGAACGTTATGCTAATTAAAACCTATTATTTTATGTGTTATTTTTTATTGAATTTAATGTGGAGTTGCAGTAATGGACCATACTACCCTGGAAAATGTCTCCAGTATGATTCACATACAGTGTAGGAAGGAGCATAAACACTACACAATACATTATACTGCAGTTCAATACAAGACCATGACAAATCAAGTTTCAAATTACAGCAGATTTGAATCAACACCTCTCTAGCACAGAGGACTTACAGGACTGAACATCTTCTTATGGTTTGATGGGTTTTCTCTTTTTTTGCTTCATCCATTTCTGCTATGACTGTTTTCATTTGAAGCACATAGGGTGTCCTTGTGTATAAAATGAAATGATGCTGGGCTTTGTTGTGAGCTTACCTTTGCAATCTGGTCAAATTTGCCAAAGAGCTCATTCAGCATATGCACAAGTTCACCCGGAGAGCAGTCACTGGCCAGCCTGGTGAAGCCCACAATGTCTGCGTACAAAATGCTGCAAGAAGAAACAAAAAAATAACACAATAAATATTGCATTACTCAACAATAGAAACATCAAACAAGACAATTCATTGCATACCTATATTTTTAGGCATAAGGAGCCATAAAATGTTTCCTTGTGGCCATTTCACTTGTAGAGCAAAAAGGAGCACTGTGGTATTTATGGAATTTAAAGTAATTGCTTTGAATTAATTCATTTGCAGCGTTGTTCTCCACAAACCCACTGAGATCTTGATGACCACATAGTTATTCTGGGGGTGAATGTGTTGGAGACAGTGGAGGATTTTTTTAGTGTATAAGAAACCTTTGGATTCATACTTGATAAACCACAAATCTTACTGATCTGAATAAAGAAAGACGTTAACTTCTGTTCAGGTTTTCAATGCATTAAAAACAATAACGCAACACACATAACTGTGCTGGATTCTCTCTATAAAAGCTGTAGATACATGTGTCTTATGTGGACCATGGATCTAATTTGTCTTTTTTATTCTTTGTGGTGTTGTTTGCTTAGGAATATAGGAATATTTACACTCAGTTGCCAGTTTAGTAAGCATTAGATAATGTAGCATGATGGAACAGTCCTGCAAAGAAACAAGTTACTGCTTCATGGTTGTATGCTTCCGCCAACCAGTCAAAGTCATGGGTATGTGGCACAAGTGAGGTCAGTGACCTTGACCACCAAAATCTCAGTTTATCTCTGAGTCCAAGTGGACACTTTGGCCAAATTTGAAGACATTCCCTCAACGCTTTCCTGACACACTGTGTTCACAAGAATGGGTTGTATGGACAGACAACCCAAAAACATAATGCCTCCGGCCGCGGCTATCACCAACAAGAAGGCATAGAAAACTTTGGGCCTATGTTAAGAGAGGTACAGTATTTAGGAGCTTTATGATAGTTTGCTGCTGTTAAATGACGTTGCATCATGCTAAAATGTATTATGTCCAACCCATTTATTGGTGAGGGTAGAACTACTACTACTAATACTTTCAGCAGCTCCCTTTGGGGGTCGCCACAGTGAATCAGCTGTTTGCATGTACACGTTTGGCATGTGTTTTACGCCGGATGCCCTTCCTGACGCAATCCAAATTGGGATATATATATATATGCACTAATCTGGGCAATTTAGAGTCGCCAATCAACCTAACCTGCATGTTTTTGGACCGTGGGAGGAAGCCGGAGTACCCGGAGAGAACCCACGCAAGCACAGGGAGAACATGCAGACTCTGTTCAGAAAGGCCCCGAACCCAGAACCTTCTAGCTGCAAGTCAACAGCGCTAACTTGCAGTGCTGGTGGGTAAAACAAGTAATGGAAATTCCTCTCAGTATAGATCAACAGCAGCACAAATCATATTGTCCTGTCTACATCTGAATCAGCACCTTTCTGAAACAGATTCAACAACAACTGAACAATAGTCTCTTCATGAAAGGAGGATTTATTTCATGGCTGTTGCATTAAACTGCATTTGTTTTAATTAGTTGTCCTTTGTAAATTGGCATGTTTCAGATTTAACATTTACAATTGATTTTTTTAAAGATTAAAATGCACAAAAACAAAAAAGCTTCATTCCTGATTATTAAAAATGTGTCAGTAGTTCTGATGAATGTATAAAAAGAGTTTATTTGCCAAATGTGAAAAAGGAAGTTTTGAAACAAACTTATATAAACAATTCTCAGTGTATCCCTTCCAGCTAAGGCTCTTCAGAAATATGACATGATTCTGTCAGTATCTGATCCCAGAGAGAAGGAATGGTGTTTCACTAGGTGTAATAACACAGTTTAGGAGAATGGTAGGAGCAGAACCATGCTGCCACCTGTCCTGGACTGTCACTTCTTTGTTCTGGAAAGACTGCCCTTTTCACTGTGAGCTAGCCCAGTTGACAATTTCTTATTACTGGAAGGATAAAAGGCAGGGGACACACACATACTATATATATATATGCATTCACTCACCCACACACACTCCTGACTCACACTTAAAAGTGTCTCCTGTGAAGCTCCAGCATGACAGAAAGCAGGTTTTTAGAGGATATTCTGTGGAGAGACCCTCGTGGTGAACCTGGATTTGTGTACTCTGTTTTGTTTCTCTGAACTCCCACAATAAAGAAGAGGATGTCAGAACAGAGGACATAGACTCCTCTTTATTTGGCAAAGTGACCTCAGACTACAATAGAGGTGGATTAACTCTGAAATGAATTTGGTCACGGCAGTCAAAAGACAGGTCATCTTTATTGTCGTTTCCACACATACAGCACATACCGGGAAACAGAATGCTGCAACTTGACATGTTGGTGGAATTTTGGCAAAACAGTCTTTTAATTTCCATGACTGAAGTTGGCAGCAAGAATGAAAAATCTGTCAGGGTGTGTTGTTTGTCGATCGCTGGACTCCTCGGCAAATAGTACTGCTGGCATTTCACAATGGTAAACTCCACCAGCAAAGAACAGTATTTGGACACAACCACAGCGTTTGTGAACCACTGCATGAATCCACTGCCTTGAGTCTTATCACCCAGCAAACATTCCCCACTGTTTTGGCACTAAGTTAGCTCATCTAGTTCAATGGCCACTGCGTGCAGAATGTTGCTGTGGAGCCATGTTGAAAGGAAAATAAAGACACAGCAGCACCTCATTTTCACAGAGGGTACTTTTTACACCTCTGCTGGCCGGAGGCATTATGTTTTAAGGTTGTGCTTTTTCCTGTTCATCTGCATGTCCCATTATTGTGAACACAATTTCTCAGAAACATCTTGGGGGGATTTTTTTTTTCAAATTTGGAACAAATGTCCATTTGGACTCAAGCATGAACTGATTAGATGTTGGCAGTCAAAGGTCACTGTGACCTCATGTCCACCCCATTCTTGTGAATATGATATCTCAGGAACACTTTGAGGGGATTTCTTTAAACTTAGCACAAATGTCCACTTGGATTCAAGGATGAACTGATTTGATTTTCCAAAGTCTTCACAATATAAACTCTATGAGTCTGACAGACATGCATGTACAGGTAACTGCAACTTCACTTATTGGCAGAGATATACAACCATGAGGAGGTAATTTAGTTAACACTAAATCTGCTAATCTACAGAAGATCCTGATGGCTGCGACTGATTTTTGCAGTTATTTACAGATATTATTTACAGTAAAAGTACTGAACTATTGGGCCTACATGAGGCAGCTACATCATGGAAATGCACAAAGAGAAGACGGTGCTGAGTACAGAAGCCGTCCAAATGTGAGATCAGGTAGAAAGTGGAGGACAAAAGAAGAAGCTGGATGAGAAGTGACAAGAGGGAGGACAGGGTGGTATAGGAACAATCAAGTGCTGGGAGCACAAGATAATAGCCGTTATTCTGCAGAGGCACAGATAAAGGAGAAGGAGCCTTACCTGACATTGGTGTGTCGCTGCACATAGAGGTTGTGAAAGTTGTTGGTGCTCTCAGTTCGACCAAAGTTCGGTCCCTGCAGCCTCTGGATGATCTCGGCTTTCATCACTCTGGCTATATGAGCTGGCAGTAGGGATAACAGTAATCGCTCCTAAAGAAGGAGACAGAGGAAGGCAGGAATAAGGAAACTCGGATGCAATATGGAAATAAAAAAAAAAAGACAAATAAAGACCTGTGTTGCCAAAGTGTGAACATAAGAATAATCTTTGCATGATAATATAGTAACAGTGATAGAATAGGATTCATATAGAGTCATACAGAGACCGTTCTAAATCTGCGTGATATTTGTCTTTCTCAGTTAATGTGATGTGGAAATATTTTGCTATGTTTTTGTTTTTAGATTTCCAGTTCACACAACATGGCCAGTACATTTTGAATCAACAGCAAACCTTAGCCATGGCTCAAGGGGCCACACACTCCTAAAACTAAGTGTTTAATAATAATAATAGTTTAGTAACAGTTAACGTAGCAACAAAAGTCCACTCTTGAAAGCTCTTTTTATTAAGGATTTGCTTTAGTTTTTTCAGATTTTACAGCAGTATTGGGTTCATTGTTGCCATAGCTATGGTGGTGACATTCTCTGGTGCTTGTGATACTGCTGTTATTGTGTGGCCTAGGTTGTTTTTGCACTGCTATGAGTGACTCTGGCCCTTTTTGAACTGCTGTGCATGACATGCCTGTTCATTATTGAGTCTGTGATTATTAAAGTAGAGGTCTTAACTATTTTATTATTGTCATAGGCTACTAATGGCTGACATAATGTTACTGTGCTGTAAAGATATGCCTGACATTTTGCACTGATGTGATATTATAGAAAACTAATACTAATATTAGATAATAATTCCAGTACAAGGATGAAGAAAAGTTCTGTGTTGGTCAAGAAACATGGCAGAAAGCACCCACTGTTTATTATTGGATCTGATTTTTTCAACCACATTGAAATACTGAGGCTTCGTACACTGAGATATACAGTTTAAAAACATGTTCACATTATAGTGGGAAAAATTATCTTGCGCTTTATGTTTAATGCTGGTCAGTGCAAAGACTCTGGTAGAAATTCCTGGGTACAAAACGACACTTTCGCCAATGCTAATGTTGCTAGCAGTAGTTTAGAGGCAGCAGCACTTGCGTGATGACAGTTTGCTAGTTAAATAGGTTGTCTGTCTTTATCTGATCTTGATATGAGGATCTTATGTTATTGTACAGTTGGTTACATATTGTTACCAGGGATTTTATGAGTACAGGAGCAGTCAGGGCAAAATAGAACACAAGTAGGCTAACTGCTTTCACATCAGTTCAAGTGGTGGCCAACAGTGACTGGCTGCATCCCAAAGGTCAGTGCAACTGGGGTCAGAGTTCAATAAATCTGTACTTTCACTGCACCCCCCTCTCCATGTTGCACACCGTGGGCGTCCATGCAGAGCCGGCGCTGAGAACCACATACACAGCAATGCCAAAGTGTGCACAAAAGCCATTTTCATATAGTAATGTGAACATGCCTTCTTCTTCTTCTTTCTGCTGTTCCCATTAGGGATCGCCACAGCGAATCATCTGTTTCCACCTAACTCTATCCTCGGCATCCTCTACTCTCACCCCAGTTAACTTCATGTCCTCTTTTAGCACATCCATATATCTCCTCTTTGGCCTTCCTCTTGACCTCTTGCCTGGCAGCTCCATCTCCAACATCCTTCTACCAATATAACCACTATCCCTCCTCTGCACATGTCCAAACCATCTCAATCTGGCCTCTCTGACCTTGTCCCCAAAACAGCCGACCTGAGCTGTCCCTCTGATGTGCTCATTCCTAATCCTGTCCATCCTGGTC